CCCCCCTCCTCCCCGAGCCTGTCCCACAGGAACAGGAGGCCATTCAGCCCAATGAAGGAGATTGAAACGTGGAACAATCCACCTCCTGGAGCTGGGATCCGATGGAGTGACCTCACTTGACATATCCCCCTTTGACCTTTGACCCTTAGCCTCGGGTGAGGATTTGCACAGCCTCCCTGTCCCTTCAGCGCGAGGTTTTTTTTTATTTCGGGCGGCAAACGTTCCCCTTCTCCTCGCAAAGCCGGAATACGTAAGGGTTATTGATATTTATGTAGGGTTTCCATCCCACCCAGTCCATCTCTGTCTCTTACCTTCACCGTCCGCAGTGGCGCCATCTTGACCTCTCACTCCCCCTTCGGCCCTGCCGACCGCCCAATCAAATCCCCGGGGGTGGGGGTGGGGTCGTGCTCCACCAACCAGAAACGTCAGCGACAACCATTCGCAGCGCTGGTCGGCCTTTCGACCAATCAAAGGGCACGCCCTGCCGTGGGCGGAAACCAATCGAAGCGCTCGCCAATCATCGGGCACGCCATGGCTTTTTCCCCTTGTCCAGTCGCAATGCGGGTATTGTGTTGCGGTGACCCACCAATCATAACACGACTGTTGCGGCCGACCAATCGTAGGGACGTCCTGGCAGCCGTGATTTGTCCGCTATGACGGGACTGACCAATGGCAGGGCTGCCCTGTCCATCCCCGACTCACCAATCATAACGCGGCCCACCCACAGACCAATTATAGGGCCTCCAGCCTGGATACGGAAACCCACCAATCATAACGCAGTTCTTCCCGCTGACCAATGGTAGGGCAGGCCTGTGTACGGAGGGCTGACTAATCATAACGCGGCCATCGTGCTGACCAATCGTAGGGTCGGCCTGTCGACAGGGACTCACCAATCAGAGCGCGGCCATACAGCTGACCAATCGTAGGGCAGGCCTGTCGGCCGGGACTCACCAATCAGAGCGCGGCCATACCGCTGACCAATCGTAGGGCCGGCCCGTCCGCCGGGTCGCACCAGTCAGAGCGCGGCGGCTCCCCGATCAATCAGAACGCACAGCCGCGTTGTCAAGGTTAACCAATCAGCTTGCGCCTCGGCGCCCGACATCGCGGACGCCGCCTCGGCGATTGACCAATAGGAGGGTTTCCATTGGCCGGCCAATCAGGACGCCGCAGTTTCCCTCCCAGTCGGAGGTGTGACGTCGATGATGCTGTGGAGAAGTTTCTAGAAAGTGGGGTGCAATAAAACTGATACAAAATGGGCTTTAATGAAGGAAAATGCTGATGGAAGGGTAAACTGAGGCTGATCCACAGAGAGGGGACTATTTGGAGCTGCTCAAAACTGTGAGGCACCTGGTGGAAGCAGTTGGACCCAAAGGGCTCCCATTGGCAGAAAGTTCTAGAACAAGTGGGCACCAGAACAACAACAAGGTGAAAGATGAAGGGAAACGGCTTCTTCGCAGCTAACAGTCCCGTTGGAGGCAGTGGTCAAATGAGTCTTTCTGAAAGAAATTGGAAGGCAGAGAGAAAAGAAGAGAGACTCATGGGAGTGGGATAGCCCAGACAAGATGGGCGGAACGGCTCCCTTCGGTGCAGCATCTCTTAAAGAGAAGCGAGGTTAAGGAATTTTGTTTCATTGACGCGTTGAAAATAGCCATTAAGGAAACAAGGGGTTTGGTTTCAAGTGTCAAGTTTTCACTGAAGTCACCCCAACTCCCCAACTCCCCACTCAAACTGCTTGTCCTAGCCTCCGTCACAGGATCAGCAGACAGCTTTTTCTACTAAATGTTGGGAAGACCAAAGCCATCGCTCTCTGCCGGCATTCCAAAACCTCATTCTCTGAGCTACTGATTACAGTACTGACCCCACCCTATCGGTTACTCCCTCCCTATCTCTGTAACCACCTCCAGTCCCTCCACCCCCTCCCTCCCTCCCT